TAACAGTGCCGGGAAATAATGGAGACATAACTCTTGCTAAATAGGATTCTGCACGAGGGATTATGTGGCCTCAGAAGAACTGACAGTTAGTTACCTGCACTGGATATCTTTGTGAAATTTACAGCAATGTCTGATTGATCAACATCTTGACATCACAAGATTCTGCTTCAAACCTGCGCCCTGGGTTTGCCCTCTGCCTCTGACATACAGTGACTCTGAAACTGACAAGCTATTTAAACTGTCAGTGCCTCTGTTTCCTTTTTTCATCAAAAGAAGACAATAACCTCTTGAACCTGCTTAAGGTTCAATGAGGATTAAGAAGTAGCATTTGATGGACACTTTGCACAAAGTCTGCAGCCTGATAAGTGATTTCATAATATACCAACTGACTACATGGTACCTTAAAGGATCTCTAAACATCAATAGCATTCAGCCTTTCAAATCCATGGGTTCTTCACCCACAGATTCAACCAGCCATAGGTTGAAAATACCCGAAAGATGTTTCTTCTGTACAGAACACAAATAGAGCTTCCTGCTTATTGTTATTCCTTAACAATACATTATAACATCATTCATATCATTGACATTATATTAGATACTACAAGTAGTCCAGAGGGGATTGACATATTCAAAAAATTTGCTTAGGTTTATACAGCTGTATGCTATTTTGGATGAAGGATTAGCATTCTGAGATATTGTTGCCCAGAGAGGATCTGAAATCAGTCTCTTACGGACACAGGGGACAATTGTTCTCTCTCTCTCTCTCTCTCTCTCTCTCTCTCTCTCTCTCTCTCTCTCTCTCTCTCTCTGTCTCTCTCTCCCTCCTCCCTCCTTCCCGTTCTTTCTCCCTCCCTCCCTCTGGCTCCCTGTTTCTCTCCCTCGCTCCCTTCTTCCCTTCCTCCCTCCCTCTTTTCCTCCCTCCTTTTTCTCTCCCTTCCTCCCTCCCTCCCTCATTCCCTCTCTTTCACTATAAGGACCCTCTGAATTCCAGTACTCTACTTAATAGGCACATTATATGGCTGAGAAAGAATGTGGTCAATGGGAGAAAGCTTCAAGGGGCCTAGTCAGCAATACTTTTAGTGGGTTGTTAGATTTAGAATTCAGAAAAATTAATATTTTTTCTCATAAGTACCTTTCCCTTAGTACTGGGGATTGAACCCAGGGTCCCACACATGCTAGGCAAGCATTCTATCTCTGAGGTATACCCTCAGTTCTCCATAGTATTTCCTATTTGAGATAGGCCCTCACTAAATTGTTGGATGGCTTTGAGTTCCCTCTATAGCCCAGACAAGTCTTAAACTTGGGATCCTCCTGCCTCAGCCACCAGAGGAGCTAAGATTGCATAACCAGGCACAGCTTGATCTCCTTTGTGTTTATTGTTGGCGTAGAGGAATAGGCTAATACTAGGAATAGGTCTGAAATGAGCATCATGTTTGGTTCTCTTTGTCTCACTCTGCCTTGTTACCTGGTCCATGCTACATGGTAGTCAACACTGGATAGTGTATACTTTTGTGAAAGAAGCCCCTTTTATTTCAAATGCCAACAGCACTAAAGTGAGTTTACCTTCTAAACTCGTAGCGGGAAAATGTAGGAACAGAAGATGGTTGAAGTATTGAGCCCAAAGAAGATGTTACCAAGTCTTGGCCAAAGCTATGCTGTGAGGTCCTGCACAGGCTTCTGGAAGCATCTAGCCACAGTTTCTTGTGAGTCATACAAGGAGAGCAGTGACCTCTCTGCTTGATGGGATGTGGTGAGATTGAGTGCATACAAAGTTCAAGGTAGCAATAGCACCTTAAGCTACTCAGTAAGTAGAAGTCCTTGTGATGTCTGTAGCCTGGCTCTGGAAGTCCAGGTGTATCAGAGTATTCGTTTGTCTACATGAGACACATTCTGCTATTCTTATTTAACTTTTTATTGATTCTTTGTGGCTTTCACATCATGCATTTCGCTCTCACTCTTCTCCCTGTCCCTTTGCATCCACCCTTTGCCCTTGCAACCTTCTCCTTAAAGTTTAAAAAAAAAGTTTTAAAAGAAAATAAAAATTTGGTCATGAAAGCTGTAGTGTGTCACAGTAAGTCCATACATCTTACTTGCAAGTGTTCATTGCAATGAGTCATTGATCTGGTTTGAGGCCGCTGGTTTCTGCCACACTATTGATACTGGTTCCTCATTGGGTTTCCTTTTGAATATCCTGTTGTTGTCATATGTCATGGAGATCCTGCAACTTTGATGTGTAGGACTGGCCCCTTCAACGTGATCCAGCAGATCATGGATGGGGTGGATGTTGGGATGTTCCAACTCATAGCCTGGTTTTGGGCTTGGGAGGTTATTGGGTTGGTAAGCCCACCAGCTCGTCCTCATCTTCAATACCAGGGTGAACTCCCCAGCACCCTGGTTAGCTCATCCTATGCAACACGGAGCAAGGGGCTAGGCCAGTTCTGCTCTCATACGCTCGGAACTGACCCACCCACACCTATTCAGACTGTCTCTCTCCACAGGGCAAGAACCATTCTGCCTCTCTCTCTTCTATACCTCTCCCTGTATTTACTCACCATAATAGAGTCCAATTGTCTGGTGCCACAAGGCACCAGATGAGCCCATGTTGTCTCCTCCTGGCCGAAGGCGGAGATCCCAGGGCAGGCATGTGATTCTTTGTCTCCTACTTAGTCTTCACATTCTAAATTTTTTTTTTTTTGCCAAATAACTAAAATCATTGAAGTCTCTATTGTACTTTGATATGAGTCAGACCCTCTCACTCCAGTAAACATCGAATTAAGATGGTACTGGGGCTGGAAAGCTGGCTCAGTGGTTAGGAGTGTGCATTTCTCTGTCTGCAGCCAGAATTCAGTTCCCAACACCATATAAGGCAGCTCGTAAGCAGCTGTAACACCAGCTCGAAGCATCCCAGTGCCGTCGTCTGTCCTCTGAAGACACCTGCACTCACAGGTGCACAAACCCACGCAACTACAGACAAAGACTTCTAATTAAAAAAAAAAAAAACAAGACTGAACTGCACTCTATTTGAAATGCCAAATGATTTTTTTGTTACCATAATTTCATGAGCTGGGCACAGCTTTCCCATCAGTGGTGGATTCTCGGTATTTTAAAGGCTTGCCAGTGTTTTATCAAATGAATCAGGATGGAATGCCATAATAGCGTGCAAACTATTGTGTTAATGAGGTCCCCTGAATACACATGATGAACTAGCTGCTTTGAAACAGGAACTCTGGGGTGCAGACAGAACTGCTCTTCCAGGATTTTAGATAGTCCTTATCAGTCCTTAAATAAAACTCCGGGTCATCCTGGAAAAGACAGGCGACATGAACTCTCATTTAAATGAACACATTATTCAGCTGTGGAAAATTGTGGGTGGTTTGAACCTCGAAGCAGTGAGTAAAAAGGCTTTCTTATACTCGGGTTAGAAAGAATCACCGTTAACCAAATTTTCCTCTGAAAACAGAAAATTAAGCTATTTATTAGAGAGCACTAAGAGCAAATGAAAATAATTGTTTCATGCAAATTATATAGATTTTTTAAATGAGGTCTAGATTGACATGGAGCAAAAAAAAATCCCATCATATTTGATTATTTGTAGTTCAACTTTAATTTTTCTTTTCTCTTTAAATTTTTTCTTTTGTTAAAAAATATTCTTTTCTCCTACAATGTATTCTGCTTATAGTTTCCCCTTCCTTGATCCCTCCAAGTTCATCCCTACCTTCCTCTGCCCTCTAGACCCACTCCCTTTCTGTCTCTCATTAGTAAAGAACAGGCTTCTAAGAGATAACACCAAGTATGAGAAAATAAAGTATAATAAGAGTAAGCAAAACTATCATATTGAAGTTGGTCTCGGCAACCCAATAGGAGGAAAAGAGTCCCAAGAGCAGTTCAAAGAATCAGAGTCCCACTCGTTCTCCCAGTCTGGAGTCCAATAAAAACACTAAGCTGAGAGCTGTGATATATATGCAGAGGATCTGGTGCAGACCCATGTAGGCCCTGTGCTTGCTGCTCCAGTCTCTGTGAGTTTGTGTGCACCTTGCTTAGTTGATTCAGAGGGCCTTGTTCTCCTGGTTTCCTTCATCCCCTCTGCCTCTTAGAAGCTTTCCACCTCCTCTTCTGCAGGATTCCTTGGCCTATGAGGGGAAAGGTTTGATGGAGACATTCAATTTAGACTCTCCCACATCTCTCTCTGCATAGTGCCTGGCTGTGGGTCTCTGCATCTGTTCCCTTCTGCTTCTGGATGAAGCCTCTGATGACGACTTGATAATATCAAAAAGAAAAACCCACAGTTTTCTTGAATTCCATCATCATTTAGATCAGTGTACTCTGACCTGGCTTTACTAACTGATAGGGAGAGCAGATAATTTAGGCTTCAACCTCTCATAGGCATAATTGCGTTAAGTCATCACCGTGATGTTTGTGGTGACTGACATGTAGATACCCTCTTCAGGGCAAGCGGATATCAGAACCCTGTGTATATCTCCACCATTCCCATTGCCTATACTCAGATACCTATCTAACTCGGGATAGTTCTCAAACCAACCAAGAGGTGTTGACTATAGCTGGCCTCATATGAGTATGAAGAAGTTGAGACATGGGTGGGTTGTGGCTTCTTGTGGTTAGCTTCTATCATAAATGACAGAGCTGTGGCATCTCCACATAGTCCCTCTCCCAGATGCCAATGGCTTCATTTCAGGATGACAGCCATAAATATAACTCACTCGTTATTTTCTTTTTCTTAATGTGTTACTTGTCTAATCTTATATTTGATCTCCAACTGGGTCTCCCAACCTCATGTATAGAAGCTGATTTTTTTTTTTCTGAACCTGAGACGCTGGGAGAATTCCCAACAATGTGTTTTGGCACAGAGACAAGCAATGCCACCATTTTTGATTATTTGGCGTTCACCTTGTGATGTTTCAGTCCTGGGGAGGATCTCAGTTTTCTTGTGGTTGCTGATGTTTGCTGAAGAATTGACCGAAAACGTTTTGTTCTTTTTCTAGAATCATGTCAATCCTGCCATGGACTTCACACAGACGCCTCCTGGCATGCTGGCTCTGGACAACATGCTGTATTTCGCTAAGCACCATCAGGATGCATACATCCGGGTAAGTGTGCTGGCTCTTCTCAGATACTGCCTGTGTCCTACGGAATTCTGTTTTCAGACCTACGCACAGAGGAGATTATTAGCCGAGTCATCCAGTGAATTTTCTTTTATCAGCAGTAAACTAAAGAAATGCAATTGACCAAGGGGCTAAAATAAGGATACTTAACTGATACATTTCTTCCATTTATTTAAACAATATAGTTGGTACTGGGAAATGTTTTCTATAGTTTAATATGGAAGTGTGATTAAAATCTATTAAGGAATTAAGGGAACAGATATGAACTACATACCTAAATCCTGCAAAACCTCACATTTGGTAGAGATTCCCTTTTTAAGCTTATTCCGGAGTTGGAAAGAGGCCCAGGATCCTCAGTGCTGCATTGCTTCCTTTCGGTCTAATGTTAAGAGATAAAAACCTAATAAACACAAATAAAGAGAAAAATGGGATAGTTGTGGAGAAGAATCTTTCCACATTTTGTAAAAGCCTGAGCATACTCAGGGCACTGTGTTAGGTTGTTGATGGGAAGGAAATGGGGACCTCTGTGCTTCTGTGTAATAGCAGGTTCCACCTGCTGCCTGGGCAGTGCCCTGTAGAGAAGAGAGTGGGGGGACAGTGACATAAGACTTGTCCACTGGGTTGCACATCTGGATTCATGGTGACACTGTGTTCATGTCTTCAGGGAGGAGAGCTCAGATGTAACTGAGTGGAATGGATGCAAGGCTGGCATCCAGGAGGGATGTCAATGAGAAGGGAGTGGGCATGTGGCTACAATGATGACTAAGTCCAGAAGTTAGAAAGTGTTTGAAGTACGAATTGCTCAAAAGTAAGAAGCATCGGACTGAGGTGAAAATGGAGCATGTCCTCCATGTGCTGGGGAATTCTCCGCTGGACTTTCAGTGGATTCAGTCTTCTGGAGATGTTCCGGGCACTGTTACTAGTTAGTGATTTCAATGTGGATGATTCCATTGTGTCTGGGCTAAAGTTTCTTCTGATAAACAAAGGAGACGTGGGGGCGCTCTGCCATGACAGTTCCTTAGCAGGTCTTTGGCAGTGAGTGTTGCTGTGCCCATGGGAAGATATTGGGTATATTTGTGTAAGCTGCAGTGAGACATTGTACCGTTCAGCAGTGACTCCCTTGAATGAGGTTATGTTGAACTCCGTATTCTCTGTAGGGCCCATATTTTAAATGTTTGCAGTTTGAGAAGCTTTGACCTATTGTGAATTGTTATTTGTAGTTTGAATACATGAAGACCTTTATGGTCATTTCTCTGAAAGGTTTGCAGTCTGATACATAGCCAGAAGTTCAGTCTTTTCTAACATAATTGTTTTCTGTAAAACTTGGATCTGAGGCCCAGGCTTGGTGACCATATGCCTTTAATTTCGTGCTTGGGAGGCAGAAGCAGCTGATCTCTGTGAGCTTGAGGACAGCCTGGTCTACAAAGCGAGTTGCAAGCCATCCAAGGCTACACAGTGCAAGCCTGTCTCAAAGTAAATAGACAGACAAACAAGAACCCCTACCCACAAAACCAAAGAACAAAAAAACCTTCTTTAATTTCACTTACATATACACATACCTACGGCACAGGCATTTTCTGTGGATGTAATCTGTTTTCATCACAGGAAAATTAGTACTTCGAGAGACCACACAATATCTAGCCTCAGAGAATTGAGTAGGAAAAGTAGCAGCCAAGTAGAAATTGAGTTTCACATCAACTGATTGATGGTTGCAGATAAATGCCTCTAAGATTAGAGCTCGCTGATGCCAAATGTATTGTTAATTGCACGAGAAGCATATGTCTTATGAAAAGTAATTTAATGTTTTAAGCTTGATTTCTCAATGCATTTTCTACACTCTGGTAAGTGAAATCAATACCATGGCAACCTGAAAGAACTTTGTATCTAACAAAGGCACTTGAAGAGAAGCTTAGGGGCAAAGCAAGGCGGGGTCTTTCTTCTTCTTCTGCCTTTTCTTTATGGGTTGAAATATGTGTACCTCGTATATTGTTAAATTTTCTCACAAGAGTTCCTTCCACGAGGTCCTTTGTAACTGGCGCATTGACTACTAGATGGAAGGCCAAAGCTAACTCCTCCTAGATCCACTTCTCTGCCCCACGTAACCTCTTATTCTATCTTCACTCCTCATCCAGTCCTGTTTCTGCTGGCCGAGTACTCATGAGAGTAAGGTCTGCCTGGGAGTTTGACTAATATATCAGAGGTTTCACTATTAAAGAAAACCGATTCTGCCTCTCCCACCAGCTATCCATTGCCAATAATACCCAGCTAAGGGAAGGATTTCATCTGGTTTTAGCTCACACAGCTCTTAGGCATGCAGACACAATCTCTGTAAGTTCACGGCACATCTGCCTTGCTGTGTCCAGAAAACGTTGTTTCCCTTAAGTCATCTACCACCTCTGAATTCTTTGTTAAGCTTTTATTTTAAATAAAATCCACTCCTTTTTTGTTTTTAACAAGGTAAAGCTCCAGTATGTATTCAGCTCTTCATTTATTATGTGTATTATTTGATAGATTCATCTTCTGCACTTGAATATAGCCTTGCCATTCATGTTCTTTGTCACTCAGATTTGTGGTTGGGATTTGTTTAAAAAGAGAAAGTGTGCACTGAATGTGGTGGTGCACACCTTTCATTCCAGAACTGATGAGGTATAGGCAGAGGCAGATGGGTCTCTGTGAGTTTGATGTCAGCCTGGTCTACAGAGTGAGTTCCAGGACAGTGAGGACAGTTTCTTAGAGAAACTGTGTTTCAAAAATAATCAAGAGAAAAAAATGGGGAGGGAGGGGAAGTGTGGTGTTCTTCCTCTTTTCCCCACCCCTACCATTATTCCCTTTGTTTTTGACATTTCTCTTCTCTCATGTTTCCATGATCATTTTGGTCTTAGGTGTTGTCTTGCCTTCTGCCCTAGGTCCCTGCCTTTGTCTTAGCAACCTTGGTCACTTGCATGTGTACTCCCATCACTTTGCAGACCTTCCTTCCCTTTGCCCTTCTGTTGATACTTAGGGTTGGTCCACGATCATCATGGTGGAAAGTGGACAGACATGGTGCAGGATCAGTAACCGAGAGCCTTTCATCCTGATCCGCATGCAGCAGGCAGAGCGAGAGTGCGACTGGGCCTGGTGTGAGCTTTTGAAACCTCAAAGCTTACTCTCAGTGATGCACTGCCTCCAGTAAGGCCATACCAGTGGGGAGAAACAATTTGCTTGCAGATAAAGTAAATTTGGCTATCCAAAGAAGAGGTGGACATTGGGCTTGAGGGACCTAAGTGACAGTGCTGACTTTGGCCACTTAGAGCTCCCTACCCCCAATTTTTTGTCCTTTTCCTGATCTGTGCCTTTTGACCATCTACCTGAGTGTTTCTGTGAGACAGACAGTGAGCTTGAGGTGCAGAGCTGAAACACATAGGACCTGGCGTTCCTTGTATTCCACCTCTTAAGGATGCGCACCCTCTCTAGTCCGTGCATCTGTATGACTGCTAAACTCTCCTTCTACACCATCCCCGTGCCTTTATCTCTCCCTACCCATTCCTTTCTCTCTGTCCTCTGAGCTACCACCTAACCCTTTGTCAAAACAAAACTATGGCAGGCCACATATTAACCAGGCAGTTATAAATACTGCCTAAGTATTTGCAACACCCTTATGTTTGAATGTTTCATGCCACCTGCCTGATGGACAGCTCTCTAAGCAAAACGTGTCTTTAGATAACCCCTGGCCCTCTTCCTGGAGGATATTATTGACCCTGCACCTTGGACACTCAAATCGAATTCCTGTGACCTTTTATAGCTTTAAATATATTTACCTGTGCTTCGTGTCTCCTGGAATTGACTAAAATAAACTGTGTGAGCAGACACTGAAGTTCATTTACATTTCCAACTATTGGCCCACTGTCTAGTGCCTAGTACCTTCCAATATTTCCTTATTAATCAAGCAGTTAAAGAACTGCAAAATAGAGTCCATGTTTGTTTGTTTGTTTTTATATGCTTTTTTTCATTTTGTTTGGGTATATTTTTGCTGTCTTACTGTTTGTTTCATTTTTGCTTTCTCTTTTTTAAGAAATAAAGAAGGAACATGAAATTGAGTGTGTAGGGAGGTGGAAAATATCTAGGAGGAGTTAGGGAAAGGGAAATAATATAATCAGAATGTAGTGCATGAAAAACTTTCTTAAGGAAAAAAGAACAGAATTTTCTTAGCTTTATTCTTCGTCCTCATCTGAAATTCATGGCCTTCATACTTCTAAAGATATTGGTTTGCCACATGAATTTCTTGATGGGTGGCTAGGTTTCTTATGTAATACTTGAATAAAACTACAGTAACTGTGTTCTAGTGAAAGTTGCAGATGTAATTGAATTACCCCACAGTTGGATGGGCACAGACCCGAGGAGGAATTACAGATCTGAGCATCTCACTGAGTGTGGGGTGAAATCACCACGATTTCAGATATGAATCTTTCATCATATTATCAAACATTTGATTAACACCAAACAGTGTTATTTCAAGGAACAAAAGCGCCCAGTAAAAGTGTCGTAGCAGAGAATTCTTGATTGATCCCTTGTTTCAAAGCAGTGACATGAAAAATGACAAGAAGAAGCAATCCAAATATTCAGAACCTGTTTTCAGGCATGAGCCCAACCCTTACAGACACTAGATGAGTTTTAAATGTGCAACAATCAAAGCTAAATGCATGCAAGTGAGATCCTTCTATAGTTGCTTGTATATTACCAGAGAATACAAAAGCTATTGGGGGCAGGGTAAGGTGTATGTCCTTAGATGCTAAACGAAAGTTGAAGAAAACACACTATATTATTTTTTTGAGTGTTACAATCATTCATTCATTGTCTCATTCACGAATATTATCAAACACCAAGCAGACATGCTACCATGTGCAGTAGATGTGATGGTAAGGATAAAAGCTAAGATTTAGCTCTTATACAGAAGAAATAATCACACACACACACACACAACAGTAATAATTGCTTTCCATTTGGGA